GTAACTTGAGAGAGAGATGCAAATCCACTTGAATAAGGTCCCTAGTCTAAATAAATAACAGACCCACACTAAAAGCACAACTGGTTTTGCACACATGGGGAGATAAGGTCTAGGGTACATAATACGCTTAAGGTATTTAAAATATCTAACACCTAAAAAGGAAACTTGCATAGCTACGGAAAAGGCAGCAAAACTAAAATTGGACTAACTCCAAGATGACAGTTAACCAGAAGTGGTTACATAAGAAACATTCAACGGAATGTAATGTGCTACCACAAACAGGACTAAACGGCAATAAAAGTTCAAGGTGAATCCTAGTTAAGGTCTAAAGATTTCTGCAGCAGTTTTAAAGAGAATGCATGTATCTAGCAGCTAAGGGAGAATTTTTGCTTCCCTGAATAGAAGCTGCAAAATGTCTAATCTTATCTTCTGCTACAAAACAAATAAGGAATATCACGTACTGTATATATAAAACCTGTGGAGAGTTGAACCTCTGTAAGCTCCCAGGAAGGCATATTTTAAAGGCTATTACCCTCATCCTGAGTTTTCATTACTCTACAGGACTCTTAAGGTGCCCCATGCAGAGCTGAGCCTCGTGAGTAATTAACTCTAGGGTAGCTAAAAAACAAATTAATTTTCAGCAAGTAAATCCTACCTGCAATGGGAACCTAACCTTTTAAAGGTCAATGGTCCAGACCTCTCACTGCTTTCCCCGCCCCCACCAGCTTTATTAAGGTATAATTGACAAATTAAAAACTGCATATATTCAAGGTACACAATGTAATTTTTCATACATGTATACATTGTAAAATGATTATACAATCAAGTTGAATAACTATTCCACACCTCAGAGTTGCCTTTGTATGTGTGAGTGCAGTGTCAATACTAAAGATCATTCTGTTATCAAATTTCAAGTATACAACACATTCACTACTGTCACCAGGTTGTGCATTTGGTTCCAATACTTATTTACTTTATGTGAAAAGAAAGTTGGTTAAGGGTACAAATTTGGCTTTCACTTCTCTTGGTTCTGTCACAGGACCCAGTACAAGGCTAAACACACAAAAGGCATTCATAAAATATTTAATGAGTGAACCATGTTTCAAAGGGCTCACTTCTATGAATACTCTATGTCAGGGTAGTGTTGAAGTATTAACAAATGATACAAAGTTCTTTACTTAAGATGCAGGAAATGTTTGCCATATTTTGTGATCCTAAATAGCTTTCATGATACTCTGATGAAATTCAGGACTCCCAGTTAAATTTGATTCTGAGATAAATACAGATACATTTTAGTATAAATGTATACAAAATATTGTGCCATATAGACTTTTAAAAAAATCATAATCTGTCTCAAATCAATTTATCCTAAATTAGTAGGCATTTTGTAATTTTATTTACTAACTCTGGCAACCCTAATTTAATCTTTATGCCTTGAAACCAACTGATTTTGCTTCTTCTCTCTGATGATTTGACTCCAGAATGATAAATTATCTTGACAGTTTTAACTATCCCCTATTAAAATGAAGAACATATAAACCATAATTTCCTTGACCTTCTTTGAAAAGCTATAGGAAAACCATAGATAATATGTAATTTTGGATTAATCTGTAGAACAACATTATCCACAGTGCCTAGTGAAGCCCATGATGTAGAATTTTGCTAAAAGAAGAAAAACTGAAAAAAATAGGGTTTCAGCCACTTTCTATTGACATGGCCAGATGATGCCACAAAATCTTAACATTACACATAAGTATACACTGTACTAAAAAAAAATAGTTTTTGAAAGGGAACCTGAAGGGAACTTACATTATTGAGATTAGCAATAACACCTCTGCACTCATAAATTACTGGAGTTCAGGGTGCACTATATCCCTAAGCAAGAAAGCATCAGCCTCTTCCTAGCTTCATAACTTGCTGAGCTGAAACTATGATTTTTAAAAATTGCTAAGGATGTCTTATCATTTAAAACTGTATTTTTTCTGTGGTGGTACACATCTGTAATCCCAGCACTTCGGAGGCTGAGGTCTGAGGATCATCATGAGTGTGAGGCCCGCCTGGGCTACATAGTAAGTTCAAGGCCAGCCTTAACTACATAGTAAGGCCCTATCTCAAATAGATAAATCAGTCAGCCGATCAATCAATCAATCAACCTGTATTTTGGAGCTATTTCAAATACTAGTGATTAAATTGGAAAAGTAAATTTAAATACACATGTCCTCCACTTCAAGAATACTTGCTATGATAAAAGATAAGCTCAAGGGCTGGGGATTTAGCTCAGTGGCATAAGTGCCTGCCTGGCAAGCACAAGGTCCTGAGTTAGACCCCCAGTACCAAAAAAAAAAAAAAAAAAAAAAAAAAAAAAAGCCTCAGCTAAGCAGATAGACTGTGGAATTGGTCATTTATATTAAATAATAATTCCCTGTAACACTCTATTAAATATTAGTATAAAAAGAATGCATTTCTCAAGAATCTTTGACTACTAATTCCTACCACTACTTTACAGAAAAACATTGCCTTAAAATCAACTTTCTTTAACTGCATTCAGTTTCCCTAAAGTGTGTAAATAAAACTCTAAAACTTCTGGGTAAAAACCACCTTACTTTCATTACTTCATAAGACTTCCTAATACTTTCAAGTACAAGGTTATTGAGAAATAAAATTCATCATTATTTTTATAAATATAGTCATCACCTAGAAGTAGCATAGAAGGGTCACTCAATCTTCATTTTTAATAAACTTTTGAGAATAGTTTCAGATTTATGGAGAAACTGTGAAAATACACAAAGTATCCCCATACAACTCACACACAGTGTCCGCTGCTATTGACATCCTATATTAGTATGTACATTTACAACTAAAAAATCAATTCTGACAAATCATCACTTCAATAGTACATCATTGCCAGTTCTTTAGGTTTTATCCAACTTGGTTTTCTGTTCTTGAATCCTCATCTAGAATATGTTACATTTCATTGTTAAGTTTCTTAGGTTTCTCATAGCTGTGGAAGTTTTCAGACTTCCTTGTTTTAATGATTTAAGGAATCCTGATTGGTATGTTATAGAATTCCCTTCAGTTTAGGTTTGGGTTAAGTGCTATTCTCATCACATCATAACAAAAGCACATGCTATTATCATGACTTCGCACTCTTTGTGTAGACCTTGATCACAGAGCTGAGATAGTGCTGATTAGTTTTCTGCCCTGGTGCATTACTCTCTTCTCCCTCTTCCTACACAGGCACCGCACTCTGCAAGGAAGTCACTATGCATAGCTCACGTTTAACACATCAGGAGTTAATCTCTACTCCTTGAGGGGGCAGTATCTACACAGATTATTTGGAATTCCATACAGGAAATTTGCCACTTATGTATTCAGTCATTTGTTGATATAATTGTTGATATCATTTGTTGATGCATATTTTGTATTTTGTGTTAAAACAGTATTTTGATCTCAAATTCTTTGTTCAATAGAATGCTATCATTTTATGCCTGTGTCCTTTTGACTTCTCTCATTGTTGCAGCTTTATGTTTTTTTAATATATCCTTGCTTTCCAAAACTACAAAATATTTCAGGTTCTTGTTGTATGTTTCCTTCTCTGGACCTAGATCTACATTTGGCTATTTCTTCCTTATTAGAGTAGGGCATTAGCCAGGAAGATGTAGGTCTTGCAAAGTGAAAGCCACTGTGATCTTGACCACTTACCTTGCCCCTCTCCCGCCTGAATATATCTGCCAGTTACTGAAGGACATTCATATCAAACTTGGGAGTGAGGAAGAAATTGCAGTTTAGTATCAGAAATACTTCAGAATTTTAATTACAAAATTTAACAATGTTATAACAATTTATAAATATATTGCATTTAAAAACTCTGATTTTAATTCCTTTTTTTATTTTTGGGTACTAATATTTGCCTTTTGTCTTATTCAAAGAATTCAATGCTTGGGGAATGAGAGTCCTAAGTAAAGAAGAGGTGGATTATTTCTATCTAGGCTTAGTTAAGTGCAGCCTGGTAACTCACTAGAAATGGAAGTATGTCTCCAAGTCTAGGAGAAGTTAATATACACCATCTTTATTCAATCTCCGATTAAAAAGAATTATGTTATGACCAAAGACATGTGAAAGACTGGTTTTAGAATGAAAAGATTGCAACAAAGAGAATGACACATATATACCATTATCAAACCAAATAACCACTTTATATTTTTATATGTGAAGGAAGCTGGCATTTAACACCAGGAGTGACTCTCATAGAAGCAATGTCAAACATGCATTCTATGCAACAAGTCTTTAAATGGTTTTACTACCAAAAATAAGTCCTATAACAGCCTAAGATTTGAGCTTTTCATACTACTAACGTTGACAAAGTCTTCAGAAACACACAAGTAAAACTGTAATTAATATAAAATGTATACTTTCTAAAAATTTAAACAGGGGAGATTACACTAAACATTAGCCACAAGGGAGACATCTTAACATCAGACATATGCATATGTGTACACACACTAATATGTACTGTATCCTTGGATTGCCTTCCCTCTCCCTACTTCCAATTCCTGGCTAAAAATAGTTTTTCACCTGAATTAAAATACTGAATAACCTGACAGCGCTTCAAATAAATAATATTTATGCAATCAGTGGTAATGGAATTGGTGTCTGGGTCACCCATGAAATGTAAGGCCTCCCCAGCACTCCTAGAGCCTTGAAGTACAAAGCTATGGGTCTCTACTAATACTCAAAACCAGCTCTGTCTTCTGCATTACTTAATACTGCTACATCCCTGCACAAAAGTCTGGCACCTATCAGCTAGATTCTTTTCAAGCTCACTGAGTCAGACAAGGGCTGGGTGGCAGCCCAACCTGTTCATTTCTGTGCTCCAATCAGACTGTTTCTGAAGGCTGGTCTTCTCCACAGACTTCCACAGGCTTCCTAATGGACATTCTTTGGGATTCAGAAGACATCATCATTAACCATGGCAAAACACCAAAGATAGCAGACACAAATCCATAGAAAAAAATAACTTCTTTTTATTTACAAAAAAAATCCAAATATTGGATGCTGTAAACAAATTTCACAATCTGTTCCCTCTAGCACTGATTCAAATCTGTCAGTTTTCAAGAGTCCATTTTCAATCAACTCCTTTTCTGCCTGTGACACACTACAGTTATAATATTCCAAAAGAGTGACCCAAAGTGTAGCTTGCTGCAGTAGGATGCCTCTGAACACGCAATGGTTGTAGAGGTGGGAGCGAGAGACAGCCAGCAGGCAGAGCCTCCTTCATTCTGCAAAGCTTTGGAGCAAGTCTTCCCAGTTACCTTGAAATCTTCCCACTTTGTACCTTTACCATTTACTTTGTTAGCAAGCCAGTATTATAATAAAATATTATATAGATTCTTCTTTAGCACTGAAAAGGCTATGCTAAAAGAAATCTTAAAGAAAGATTATATTCAAATAGGTGATATATACGAAGTCACTTTTTTTTGTACTTTTTGGTTTCATCTAACACACTTCATCTTCCACAACAAAAAAGCTTATTTTGACAGCTTCTGACAGCTTTCAACATAATACATTTCATTTACAAAATAGTTTACAATATTTATTTAACAAGCATTGCTTATGAACAGTAAAACAACTAACAATAAGCAAACAGAAAGGGGCGGCACAAATAGTACGTTCACTTATTTCATCTCTTTCTTGGCTTGGAGTACAGAAGCTCTTCCATTGCCTCTTTTGGACCCATGTTGAAACAGGCCACCCAGTACCAAAGTGAGCATATCCTCAATCCCATTTCTGGAAGGGAAAAGTCTGTCTTGGTTTAGGACTTGGTGAAGCAGCTGGATTTATCGCAGATGAAGTAAACTTTTTTAAGAGGGCATGTAACAAGGTTAAGTGTTCTTCGACATGCCAGACTGGACAGGTGAGACGAGCTTCCAGTAGAAAGAGAATTCTTCCTATTTCAAAGTAACAGCACACTAGGCCACATAAACACCAAAGCAACCAATCACAGGCACCAATCAGGAGTTGAGAGCTGTTCTCTGTGAGCTACACCTGCAGCTCTCTCATCACACATTCAGATTTTTAGGCCACACATCCACAGAGACATATATCACACCGAACGTTCAACTACATATACACAGGACTATAGTCCACACAGAATAGAAATAAATTATATAAGTCTCAAAGAAAACGCTAAAAGTTGCAGAACACAGGCTGCTCTAACTGAATGCCAGGTACCAACTAAGCTACCAACCCTGAAGTAAGCAAGAAAAGAATATAAATATTTGAGAAAATAAATGAAAAGCATGTTTTCAAAAAAGGCTCCTTCAAACAAAAACCTGTGTCGTAAATTAACAGCAGGTTTCTGCTACTGAAGAGCCACACCTCCACACTCTTTAAAATAGTAGACAACTCATTTGTGGAGTTGGGATGAGAAGAAAGCAGATCCCCAGCTGCTCCTCTGTTCCTCAGCATTCCTTTAGTTTTCTTTGAGAAAACTTCCAAATAGCCAAGTAGGCAGAGCTCTGGTTTCTGACAGATGAGTGCCAGGCTTATCCTGCAAGTTGAATAATGTTTCCTAGGACTCTGCAATTAATTTTCCAAACCCAGGGCTGGAGGTGAGGGAGTAAGAGCCAACATGGGAGCAGAAGAGTTCCCTAGAAAACAGTGAGTGGCAGTGCAGGGCATCTCACAGCTCTGGTAGAGTTCACCAGGAGGCTGCTACAGCAAACAAATCAGGTTCCCCTTAAGGCTTTAAAGAAAGATGCACAAAAGGTATCCAGAGAGATGAGCCTGGATTAATGTAGTATTTCACATCTGAAAGATGCCCAGATAGCACACAAACAAATTACACTTCAATAGGAGAATGCTATTTTCTTCCCTGGTCTCTCTTTAATGACAAAATTTATCTGGTTGGATCTTTAGGAATTTATCATAGTAGGCATCTGACGGATAGGGTTGGTGGGGATTATGTGGATTTTATGTGTGAGTTTTAACAAACGCATTTTTGGAGACCAGAGGGGTAAGAAAAGGGGTGGTTTTAGGATTACCTGTCGTCAAACTAAAACAGTAACACTAATTCATTTTACAAGAGTATAACTGGTCTCTTAGAAAGGAGAAAATAAAGTTGGGTTTAATTTAATGCAAAGTGATTAAATTTAAAATACAGTACTCAGTATTTAAATGCACTAAGACAACCAGATCAAAGATGTTTCATACTGGCATAAATCTATAAAATGTTATATACAATATATATCTCATATATAAACTTTATGCAATTGTGCAAATACTCTTTAAAAAGGGTCATTTCACATTTACTAAACTCTAGTGGTCCTAAAATGCTGAATGCATTCATTTAAAAATTCATTTCAATATTTATAAGTAGTGTTCAGATCACCAGAAATTATTTTTAGCAGTTAAGAGATTTAGGTAGCCTACACTGATTCATGATCACAAGATTACATACCATGGAGGTACGCAATTATTTTAAAAAGAAAAAAAATGGGCTCAAATTGTCAAGATGGTAGTTCAAATAGTTTTTAAGAAAGTATTCTGCCAAAATTCTGCCATTTGTGGGATAATCTGGTTCACAAAAATAAAACAAACAAAAAACTCAAAAACCTCACCAAAAATGTATAATTTCTGCTCTTATCAAATATATTACTTGTCCCCCTACCCCATACGCTTTGATTTGTTTAGATGTGGGTTTTAATTCATCATTGCGTATGCCCACATTTCATGTCATCCTAAACATAAAAGTACATAGTATTTAAACATTTTCTGTTCTAGATCATAGTCAATGTAGTGTGTATACATATACACATACAGCATGTATGCATATGCACACATAATATACACATGTACCTATGGTAACATCACACCAACAATATCAACTTTATACATGTATTTGTTAAAAAATAGGGCACTTCCTCCACCATTCACAAGCTTATATATTGTTTTATTTTTTTTCTGAGTCCCTGATAAAATAAAATTATCATTAAACCATAAGATAAATTTTTCCACTTCAAATTTTCAGAAAGCAACAGGCACTTTGAGATGTATACCGGAGTGTAACAAATATAATAACTATATTCTATATCTCTATACTTGAGTACTTTTCTCTGTTAAATCTTTGGTCCTTGAGCATATTTTCTTCACTACAGCTGTTTTTGCTTGCATTTTACATTTAAAAAAAAACGCGAGCTATGTACGCAGCTGGAATTAATGGATTGTGTCATCACAAATTTTCCTGTTTGTTATAAGAACTGCACCAACCTACTACTGTCCATGCGGAGCAGGGCTGTTTCTGTTAGCCCAACAGTGTCATTCCACAGACAGCACTTGCTACAGGCCTCAGATAAATAATCCCTATGTTGGAGTTCCCCTTCTTCCTGTATTGTTACTATCTGAACTCCTGAACTGATAAACAAGGTGGGTGAGACGTTTTTCCTCTCTGTGTTCCCTTTAGTGAATTCACCTTAAAAGTTTTTCAACCACTTTCCCACACCATGGCAAAGCTATGGGAGCAATTACTGCAAACCCATATTGTCAGCAATAATTTTTCCCTTGTTTTAAGCAAACCCAATTGCTTTGAACAACAGGTTTCTTTTGTTTCAAGGTAGAATCCAATTGAGAAGGAGGAAAGGGGAGAGTTAAAGAGGGTCATGGTTTATAGATCATGCTCCCATACCAATGTAAAGATCCATAAACTTTGCCAAGCTTAAAACCAGGAGCATATAATTGCACAAAACATGTCCCCAATTAGGGCTGGGTTACTCCTTTTTTTTTTCTTTTTTCTTTTTTTTCCTAGTTGTCTAAAATGGCTTCCCCACAGGATATTTTTAAATGATTGTTAATTGCAGGGTAGCCAAGTTGAGTATGTTTGCTGCTGACATGTGAACACTGGCTGAACTTGTGCAATGTAGTAATTGCTAAAGTTAGCATCTGCTACATAGGGAGCCGGTTGGTAGTAACATGTGACATTAGCCACATTAGGGATGACATTCTGGTCAGCTAGCACCCGGATAGCCAGCATGGTGATAAGGTTTAAAGTTTGTCTTCTTTCATGTCCCATCAGGCACACAGTACTCTCATTCACCACGCCATGTAGGGTCATGAGATAATCATACTTGCGGTCTTCCAAGCCCACGAAGTGGTTCTGCAAATAGGACTCCAGTTTTCTCTGCTGCTCTCCAATGTCTGAGAAATCAATGAAAAACCTGGAACACATATACCTCTGGAGAGTCTTGATCTCATCAGAGGCTGGCCTAAAGCCCCTCACTAAGAGGTTGCAGTACTTAAGCAGGCCTCCCCCTCTGATTTCCTCTGGATTCCTGGTGGCAATGATCTTGTTACAAAGGTGATCAAAGGCTTCATGGAAATCACCATAGACGCTCTCACCGATTATTGTGGGGTGAAATGTTTCAGTCATCGGGTTCTCTGAACATTCATAAAAAAGGAGAAGAGAGTCTAATTTGATTTGAAAAGAATCTACACTGAATTCAAACTGCCTCCGGAGAGAATCCACAAATTTCAGTTCCACATTTTTGCCACTGTTGTTTGACAGGGATATAAGACTCCACCGGTCTGAGTCATTGCACACTTTAACCATTTTCTGCACATAAGCTTCCTACAATTTAAAAGATAAAACAAAATGAGCAAACCTAAAAAAATAGTAAATAAATACATCCTCTTCACAGCTAAGAATTATTTTGCTATTTCGTTTTTGTTTTGTCAAGGTTCAGCAAAACACTACCTACAGGTTTAAACAGTCTTCTGAAAACAGTACAAAAAAAAAAAAACAGATTTAACGAGTAGTTTTACTGTCTGAGAGAGAAACTAGAAATAATAGTTTGAGGCTTTTGGCAGACCAAGCGCAATACTAAAAGACTCTGTTGTCATGTCTGACTTTGAAATGTGCTTTTTTAAAATGGTCTAATAGTCAAAATAGCCACACAATATTCAAAAGACACACTACCAAAAAGCTAACTTGGGCACACGGTATTAAGTTAGTCTTGCTCTTAGCCTTGTCCCCAGCTATCCAGTTCACCTCTCCCTAAAGCAGTTAGTGTGATCAATCAATATCTTAAGTGTCCCTCCAGGGACTTGCACAGATTCATAGTTATAGTCAAGTAAGAACTAAATTGCTTTCAATTTTACTAATTATACATAAAAATGTGATATAAACTTGTATTGGTGTGGGGGAGGGTGTGCTACCACTATACCCTTAACATGCAAACCAATACGGAGAACCACCGAATATATATTTAACGCAGGGAGTCAGCTGAAAGCAGCTTTGAAATCTATTCACATTTTCCAGTACAATAAAAACCCCATTGACTCAGTTCTGCTGCAGGCTGCTATTTTCCCAAAGACTATACCACAGAGTGACCCAAAAAATTATTTACATCATTTCACTCTTCCACCTATCAGAATCTACTCCAGACAAGATTCCAGTGAGGAAAGGCAAGAGTTAAGTCACAAGGGGAAGGAAGAGAAGGGAGGACAGAAGAGGAAGCTGGAGAAGAGTTGTGGCGCTGAAGCTCCAAGTTAAACTAAAACATTAGATATCCTCCATGCACCGCAAATAACACATTGAGAAAAACAAAAAAAAAAAATAAGCGCTCAAGCGCTCCCAAGCCCCCCGAGGGCAGCAGATCCGCATTTGACGCTGGCCCTCTGCCCTCCGCCGCTGCTGGCCGCACCGCCAGTCTCCGGTCAGAATCTAACGGGTCCCCAGCGGCTTTACCTTGAGCGTGAGAGGTGTAATCTTCTCCTTGTTCACCCCTTCAGGTAAGAAGTCCAACAGGCAGTCCAGCACGACGTCCTTCACAGTCTGAAACTCCTCTTCCCCGCGCAGGTCGGCGCAGAAGATGAGGTCCAGGTCCTTGTAGCCCAGGCCACTGTCCTGGTGCAGGACGTGGCTCGCGGCCGAACCGTTGAGGCGCACGTCGCGGACGCCGATGCGCTTCTCGGCCAGGCGCCGCCGCACTACCTTGACGATGAGGCTGGGCTGCAGCTCCAGCGTAGGGAAGTTGCCGCGGCCGTGGATCGGGATGGTCTCGCTCAGGATGCCGTCCAGCCGCTGCACTTGCTCCCAGGTCAGCACGTTGCAGTGCGCGGTGGGGCTTTCGCAGTAGTCCAAGCACTCCCCGCCAAGGCTGTCATCGCCGCCAAAATCGGCGCCGCTGAAGTCGCCGGCTAGGGGGATGTAGGGGCCTCCAGCCAGCTCGTCCTCGGCCATGGCAAAGTACCCTTCACCCTCTGCCATGTAGTGTCCGCCGAGCGCCACTTGGCCTTGGTCAGTCCTAAAAGAAAAGAACGGATAGGCTCGCATGAGGACGGGCGGCAGCAAAGGCTGTGCCGGAGACAGGGCGCCCCCTCCGCGGACTACCTCGACCCGGAGACTCCTCACAGAGGCTCCCTCCCTGCCCCCGCCGTCCCCAGCCCCGCGCCGCGCCCCGCAGGACAGCCCCGCACCAAAAGTATCTCGGATGCATCTGGAAAGCGCAAGCGAGAGTCCCGTCTGTGTCACCTGGAGGCGGCCGCCCCTTCTAGGAGCTAGGTGAGCGAGGAAGCGCGAGGCGACAACCGTTCCAGGAGCTGCGCGTGCGCTCCCAGCAGCCGCTCTAGCAACTTAGTCTTCCTCAGATCTCCGCGGCCGGCGTTGACACTCCGCCCCACACCCCCACCCGCGCCCCTGCGGCCCAGGCTGCAGCGGTCCCGGAGGTGGTGGCTCCTGGTGCCTCCGCGACCCGCACTCGTTCGCGCCCGGAGCTTTAGCGATTGAGCAGGGGAAGTAGCTTCAGTACTTTTTTTATACCAGGCTTCCGGGGCCCGGAGCGGCGCGGTGGCCACGCCCTCCTCATCTGCATAGGGTGCCGCCCACCCCCAACCCCCCGCCTCTGCGGTCAACTGGCCAGAAGAGCGAGCGGAGCGCTCCCTGCCTGAGCGCGGGGGTCAGGGTTCGCTGCGTTGCTGTACGTCCTGCGCCCCCTTTTTCCCCAGTGAGAAAACATTCCAGTCCCCCAGAAACCGACTACAGTGTACAACAGCGGGAACTTCCTAGACATAAAACTCTTCCCAGATTCAGCGCGTCAAGATAGCGAGATGCAGATATAGGGGTTTGGGGGTTCCTCAGGACCCCGCTTCTCACAGTGTGTCCCGGTTCAGCTAAATACGCTCCGAGTGTGGACTTCTGCGACCTCGAACGCGCAGATCGGACCCGTATGTTAGGGAAAAGGTTTGCCGATAGCTGAGTTTCGTTTCTGGAAATCTCGGGAAGCCCTGAGGAACCCGGGGCGAGCCCTAGGAGACGCGGGGGCGGTGCCGTCTGCAGCGCGCCAGCGGCGGAGCGGCGAGGCGGCGGGGAGCGCACGGAGAGCCAGTGGGGCCCGCGCGCGTCCTCGCAGTGACGTCGGGCCCGCAGCCAATCGCGAGGCCCGGGCGGGAGCGCGCCGCGGAAAGTGCGCAGCCCCAGGGAGAGCCCGGAGTGGGTGGCGCGCCGTCCTAGCTGCCGGTTAAGGTTTGCCTTTTTCAAGTGGCTAAACATTTCAGTGAGATGTTCCCACGCCGCCTAAAAGGAGGAAGCGAAAGGCAGCAAACAACTCTTCTCCAGTCTAGGTTGCTTGAAGGGAGTTCTGGAATTGTCACAGTGACGCCCACGCACACAGGGCTCACACCCCCCAGTTTGCTAGAAAGCGCCCCGCTTTCTCGCGCCGTCTATTGCCCACTCGCCACTTCTTTCCAAACTTACCCAGAACCCCTTGGATAAAACCCTGCGCGGGCTTGGCCGCCAAGCTAGGGAGAGGGTCCTCTGCTCTCTAAATCCGGGGTGCTTTGACCTAGACTCTAGAGCGCGGGGCTCTGGGGGAGGGAGACAATCGGGGGTGTCACCCTAGACTCATCCAGCTGCGTAGCTACGCCGCCCCCTGCCGGTGCCCCGCTCCACTGTGTTCCAAACCCGGAAACCCGACTAGACCCTAGAGGCCCAAGCCAGGTCCCCTAGCACCTAAACTTGGTTACACTCAAGCAGAGAAGAGGAGGGTGAGCACCACTGCAAGGTCCTTTGAAAGCCAGTGCCCCCTTCCAAGCACACCTAGACATTCCTCTGTCCAGCCATCCACAAGGGAAGGCATTTAAGGGCAGCTGCGCGCATGTGTGTGTGTGCGTGGTTGAGCTCTTGTGTGTCAGGCCTGCAGGTAAGTGCTGTGGGTTTAGGAATGCCCATATTTCCCCTAGTCTCCAGAGCATAACACACCAGTACATAATTATGGTTCATTTGCATCTGTGTTAGAATTATGTTCCAACACAGGGGTGGTGGGTTGGCTGCATGTGTTAACGGAGAAATCTAGAAGAGTGGTGTCATTTGTGCTGGATCTTCCAAAAAGTGAACATTCTTTAAATAGTTGGAGAAGGTTGGAGGCCATTATCCAAACAAGGATGAGCATAAAAGAATTAGAAAATTTTGAGATAGGATTTGTAGACTCGTTTGTTAAGAAATGAGGTTGATAGATAGTGCATTGGAGTAGTTGATGACACTTGCAGAATTTACTGAGCACTGTCTGCCCAAACTCTTTTGAGGTCTTTATACAGAATATGGCCTTGACCTTAAGTTCAAGAAAGTCCTATGTAATAGCGATTCGGAAGCAGAGGAACCAAGAGGCTTAGAAACTAGCCTAAGTTCTACAACTGATAAAACAGTCAAGGCTTGAGCAGAGTTCATTTGACTGTGTTTAGTTTTTATTGCCAGGAATAGTATACTGTGGCTGAGCTAGTATCTTACAGAAAACCACAAATAGCAAAAGCACAAATAACCAAAAGATTTTTGAAAGGAAAATTTTTTAAATATTTCCTTCAAAGGCTGATATGAATTCTTTGCCTTCTTAAAACAAGGCCGAAGGGGTTGATCATACATTAGATACTCTGCGCCAAAAAGAAAAAACAAAAGCAAGGACTTAGCCCCACTGTCATTATTTTTTAGTTTATTTTAACCTTTCCTCAAAAAAACGAAAATATAAAACAAAATTTCTGAACTGCTGAGTATCAATAAATACCGAGATTTATTTTTTTTTTCCTGCAGGTATGAGGAGTCTGCCAATTATTTACAAGCTGCTTAGTGATCTTGACTCAAGGCTCAGCCATGGTTTGCACTACACCATCAGCTAGGGGAGCCTGGTTCTCTAAATGGGGACTTTCCCCAGCAGAAGCTGCCTTTGTCCAGCTCCCAAGAAAAGAGTGTTCAGCTGAAAGATGGAAGCAGAGAGTGTGGTGCCTTGTGCTGGCAAAACGTGAGTCCCAGTGACCATGGGACAACACTCTACTTCCCTTTAGTTTCCAGTGCTTTGTGTCTGATATTTCCTTACACTTTCAAGAAAGCATTCACTACTCCAGCTATAATTTAGATCCCAAATGCCTCCTGCACTAGAACATCTGGGATAGCTTATTTTTGGCAGTGTCTTGGTGGGCAGTTTAATCTTTGGATTAATGTATGCCTAATGTATAGTTATCACTTGGTACATAGTGTTGAATGAAAGCATATATTCACCGTTCTGTCTTCAAATTGAGCTCATATTTACAGTGTAACAAAAGGTATTCATCCTTACACTAAATTGCAAACTTTGTAATTATAAGCATTAATTTACTTTTTTCTGGATAACCAAAATAATTATCAAATTAGAAATTCTACACTTTCCAAACATATTCACAGCCAAAATATTTCCCCACATAGCTACTTGTTCATTAAATTTAGAGGGTTTTGATTTTGGAAGAGGGACTAGGAGGCTTTAGCTTCTGAATCTGTCTAATAAGTAATTTACTTTTCCCCACTTAAAAAGAAAAATAAGCTTATACCTATATAATGCTGTGAGTTGATGAAGTTAAGACCACAACAAAACTGAAACATGAACAATCTAGATTACTTTCTGGGTGAGCAGAATATCTTTATATGAAATTTTAAAAGCCAAACCTTATAAATATAGGGAATAAGACAAATGTAACTAGTTGATCTCAACACACAAGTTATACTGACAGTCAATCTAAACTGAATACAGATAAAGATTCCATCTCGACCTTAATAATAGTTTCCATTATTAAATTTTTCATTATTTACCAAGCAATGCATTCTCAATATTTTAGATAAATTTATTTATTTTAAATTCTTTTAAAAGTAGTTTTGTATATTGTATCCCCATTTCCCAAATAGGAAAAAGGGCATGAGAAAATTAAGTTACTAAGTGAAGGGGCAGAGCCTTCCGTCAGACCCCTGTGTGTGGCTTCCTTTTGTTCTGGGAGTCTGTTAAAAGTCTAGGAGTTGGCCCCCCTCCCTGACTTCTCTTTAGACTTACAGTTGAGTTGGTGCAGCCCTCTCTTACTTCCCGTGGTCTGGATGTTCAGATTGGATGTAACTATGGGGACCAAATTGTTTTATCCTGAAGCAACTGCTCAGGGCTAGAATGCAGAATGACCTGATTGGGCTGATAGGAGAGTTCTTCTGCAGCCGAGAGTGTCTTCTCTAGCATTGGAGAGGTACTAGGAGGCTTTAGCTTCTGAATCTGTCTGATAAGTAATTTACTTTTCCCCACTTAAAAAGAAAAATAAACTTATACCTATATAATGCTGTGAGTTGAAGTTAAGGCCACAACAAAACTGAAACATGAACAATCTAGATTATTTAGCTAACAGCCTCCTGGAGGTTTCTCGTGTTTTAAGAAACCCACAGGGAAACTGGAGGATTCGGACACTGGCCCAGTGATACTACTAGTGCTCCCATTTTCCCTCCTTTTCTCTGCTTGTCTTCTCATAAATGATTTACCTGGGAAGATAGGAAATAAACAAAATTATTTTTCCAAGCTCATACTACAAGAGAGGAGTTCATAGAACTGCTGTTAAGCCTCCTATGTCTCTGTCTCTGTCATAGCCCTCTAACCAGTATCCCTTTCATAATCATGTCCTGCCTTGGTCTTTCCACACCAGCTTGTATTGTCTCTCTTCATTGAATTTCCACCTTCTACCGCTTCTAGCCTTTGATCCTGTTCACAAAAGCAGCATGATCCTGTAGAAGCACTGTGCAGTGCAGGCAGAGCAGTGGTACTATATAAGAAAAGAGCCCTACCCCCACCTTGCTAGCTTCCTTGGTAGAGAAAATCTCGGTCATCTCTGAATCCACCGTGGGATAGCACCCCTTTCCAAGCATGCACACAGAGTAGAATGCGTTGCACAGTAAGTTAGAGGTCTCCCTGCTGTCCAGGGAGTGTTAACAGAGTAACAGCTGACCAGAGCGTTTCACAGAAAAAAAGTCAAAATTCACTTGGGAAATGCAGTTTTTGAGAGGAAATGGTACCTTTGAAATGATTCTTCTCATGTTTCTTCAGGGAAATAAATACTTACTTAGAGCCTATAAAAGACAAAGAACATACTAGGTTTTACAATTTACAAGTTCATCTGAGAATAACAATTTAATAATTGAAGGTTACTAGTAATTAAAAAATTAACTTCTAATTTTACAATCCTTTTTCTCTATGTGTCTTACTTATTCTCAAAACTATTCTGACTAGTATACTTTTGAATTTTATAGATGAAGGAAAGCCTGTGGATTTCCATGTGTCTTACTTTATTCTCAAAACTATTCTGACTAGTATACTTTTGAATTTTATAGATGAAGGAAAGCCTGCGGATTTCCATGTTTATACAGCTAATTATGGAGAAGTTAAAATTACTCACTTACTCTTATGGGTCAGCAACTTTTCTATTAGCCACACTGCATGACTGGATTTAAATGCTCAATAACAAATAGCTGGATTTGAAGGAATCTTTTGATACACAGAGGGTTGTTTATGTGTGCTGTATTCCAACTTA